AATGAAAGGGAAGGGGGATATAATTTAAGGGGTCAGTTAAATTATAAAATTCATGCTATACGCACCACCAAAAAAAATTCTGTATTTCGATAAGTGGAGTAAAACTATGGAATAATTTAAGTATGGACATAAAAAACAGTAAGAAAATTGATGAGTTTAAACACAGATATCAAGGTATGTGTCAATCAAGATATGGGCAAGAACAGGCTCAATGATTAATCAGATGGGAATGTGGATGTAGAATATGTATCCATGTAGTAATACTGCTTGCAAACCAATGATGGTAAGATGATGTCATGGGGTAGGACTAGATAAGTCTAACTTCTTCCTACTCCGTTCAAGCATGTACTAGGTATAAGCAAATTGAAAATATTTTTGTGGATATGTCTGGAATTACGTGTGATTACATACTGACTGTTGTTACATGTTTGAAAAAATAAATAAATCAAATCAAATCAAATTCATAGGACTGGACAGAAGTGAGGTCGCTGACCTTTAACCACCAAAATCTCATTTCATCCTCGAGTCCAAGTGGACATTTGTGCCAAATTTGAAGAAATCCACCTTTGGCCTTCCTGAGAGTTTACAAGTATGTGCTGTATGGCTGGACAGACAGCCAGACAAACAGAATGCCTCCAGCTGTGGCTATTGCCAGCACAGAGGTATAATAATTGCTGAGCTTGTGAGGTGCCTGTTGGCATTTAAATTTGGACAGCGCCGTGCCAGCTGGCCTTTAAACACAACGCTGACATAGAGATGTCTAAGCTGATATGTAGAACTTGATTGGTAACAATTGCTTATTTACACACTAGCAGTTCCAGAATAACATTATCTATGATTTCATTTAGAGTCACATTTCTGGCAATCCAACAAATGTAAAGCCGAATGTTGCTCATTTTTATTTCTGTTTCTGGTCTGTACCTACTTTTGAGCTGCTGTTCACCAGCTAGTTGCTAACTGTGTTTGCCTGGTGGCGAACAGGTACTGTGCAGTATATTTTTAGAGCTTTTTCTATGAGAATAGATGCCTGCTGCTGTCGAAAACGATGCTGTGAGAGTGGTGAGTGAATCAAAACAGTAAAGGTGCGAGCCTGACCACTAAACAATGAACCAAAACTTGCTGTAAAGGTCCGTAAAGCTGAACGAAGCTACAGATTTCAGTGATGATTCTATACAGGTTCATGTGTACAGGTGACCCCTTTCATATTGTCACTGGATTCTTTAAGGTGAAGTTCACACTGTCATAAAATTCCTTTTATAAATCCTGCCACCTCTGTGATCTATTATACTACATTTTTGTCATATTACACTTTTCTACCTTTATCATTGTTTACAAATGCGTGTGATGATAAACAGTCTAGGGAATCAAGGTATGTAAATAAATATATTCCAATAATCTTTAACTGTTTGTACTATAGCTGCCAAAGCACATCTTACATAATGTTTATGTAAGTTTAACAACAAAAAAAGACTTGTTTACAGGGTTTTCTGTTAAAATATGTTGACTCCCTTCCACCCCCTCCCGGAAAAACACAGCAGCTGAGGTAACAGTGAAGGGTCGCAGTTTTGTTTCCTTTTGTTCAGTTTATATACTGTATGTTTAAAAAATGGTGACAGGACTGGTCTGTGTAGATGTTCCACCGTTTTACATTAATCTTGTATCCATATGTGTTAGACTATAACTCAAGGCAGAATATAGAGGAGATGTGAAATTCACCTCATCACTGTCATGGGATTTATTTTTATTTTCCCTCTTAGGCTACACCTTTGTAGCATTGTCCATTTGGAGCATATTGAGGTTATTTTAATTTTGATGCATATGTGAAACATTACAAATTAAATGCTTTTGCCAGTCATATAGTTTTACACATTTGCTAGTGCTGAATCAGCTTTTGAAGACAGTCGCTTAACGTCTTCTGTGAATCTGGAGGGAGCTTTTTAACGGTTGATAAAATGGCGCTGATGATGGCAGGCATGGAGTTTAAAAGATGTTGGTGTTTACCAGGTCGGCAGGATCTAACCTTAAGATGCATTTGGGTGAATTATAGGAAGTTTAGGATCCAGATTTCTGAGCTTGGCCTATAGTGATGACTAAAAGTCAGAATAGCTCTGAAAAGTTGTTATAGTGTAAAATGCACCTTTTAACATATGCATTTAAGGTCTGATTCACCCACATTATAAAAAAACAACACATTTTCTCATTTTACTCCAGTGTCCACTCCCAGTACAATGGAGGTGAATGGATTTTTGTTTATCCCTGTACATGCATATTAATCTGTGCTTTTTAAGCAATAAAGCAATAAGAAAAATTAAACAAAAGCACAGATTTAAAAAAAAACACTGTACAGTATGTCTGTAATTTTGTGTAACAAATTTATACAGTAGAAAGAACATTTTCCACTTTTTTGGTCACTGATTGCATTTAAAATAGTTTCTACACCACCTCATTTTCATTCATGATTATCAATAACCACTAAATATCAAAACCAAAAACATGTGCATCAACAAGTACGTAGTAATAAATTATGCTCTAAATGGGTAACTTGAAGCTCAGTGTGATGTTACAAAATAACATCCAGAACCACTTTCACCTTCAGACTGGAGAGGAAGCCACCCACAGTCACTCCCAGCCTGAAGACCTGCTCCAACGCAGCACCCACTAAATCATTACATTCCTCACTTAAATCATCATCGAAGAGCAATATTAAACCTTATATGAGAGTGCTAATTATGTGCTTAAGATACTTTCTATGGTATTAGCTCCTATCTCTGGCACGAAAGCACCCGGCCCAGCGCCTTACGGGTTTGCCTCACTGAGGCTTTTTGAAGTCTCAACTCTTCTGCAGCGCTTGGTGTGCACTGTACAGCAGGAGCGGAAACCATCTACACATCAAAATTTTCCAGGGCTTCTTAATTTGCACGTTCACGTGAAGATCATGTATGTGCCTGTATCCTTGGCCTTTGATGTGCTGAGTCATTCACATAGCACAGAAGGGCTGGGGCGCTCCACAAAGCCCGCAGTGAAGATGCTCACGGCCAACGCACGCAATGCTGTGTGAGTGTGTAGCTGCTTGTATTACTCACGTGGTGGGGACATAGTGTAAATCTGTTTACACACTCACACTGTGGGGGTTCGCCATCCTTTTGGGGATTAAAGCAAGTCCCCGTTACATAAATCATAAAATTCTAGGGTGAGGACTGGGGTTAAGGTTAGGTCTAATTTTTGGCTAAAGTTAAGGTAAATATTAGGAAAGCATGGTTAGGGTTACAGTGCTGTAAGTCTCCACTAAATTAATGTAAGTCAGTGAAACCCCCTCTGATATTCTGGAAACATGACTGTGTGTGTGTTCATGAGAGACGGAGTGGAAGGAAAAATGAGAAGGCAAAGGAAATGTGTATGCCAATGTTCAACTTTAATCACGTTGATTGGCCAAGTATGCTTAACACACAAATAATTTGTCTCTGGTACAGAGGCTGGCCCCTAGAGAGAGCGTTCAACCTCGGCAGCCGTCTGTGTCACCATTATTCACACACACCCTGATGGTGGTGCTGCTCTGGCCATCAGAAGCAACTTGGGGTTCAGCGTCTTACCCAAGGACACTTTGATGTGGACTGGGGAGACTGGGAATCGAAACGCCAACCTCCAGATTAGGAGACAACCTACTCTACTTTCTAAGCCACAGGAGAGTAGTGTATGAGAAGGGAGTGTGTATGCAAGTGTGGATATGGGGCGCCCAGCTGTGGGGGTCGAATGACACTCCTGTTTCACAGTCACACAACACTGCTGTTCTCCTTGTGTTAAGTTTCACTTAGCCATGTACAGCGCGGTGAGCAACACTTTCTCACACCTCTGAAAAGACCTTCCCGGGTCAGTTGTGTCAGATGTGTGCGTGTGCCAAGAAGAGAGGCCCACAGTAAGAAATACTTACCGGTATATCAGTGTTATCACTTCTCCTCCTGAGGAAAAAGGTCAGCAGTCTAGACAGGGCATACAAGGAAATTACATACTCCATTTCTTATAAAAAGTGAAACATAGGTGAGTCCCACTTCATTGACTTCCCAGAAGAAGCCTGTGTTCTGAATTAGCTTTTACTGGTCAGAACCCAGTGAACTGTGTGCCTGTTTCCAATAGCAACCACAATCACAACGCTCCAGGCCAGAATTTAACACGAGCTAATTGAGTTTGAGGATGAAAAGGTTGAAAGGCAGCAAAGCTTTTCAGTTTAACAAGCAGTTTGTTTTTATACCAAACTTTCTGATTCAAATACAGATAAACATGTGAATTAGTAACATGGAAAGTGTGTCTCGCTTCCTGCAAAAAGAAAACAGTACTTCCATGTGACGCAGGAAAACCCTGACGTCACCAAGCTGACGAGGGATCACCACAGACCACTCACTACCCACCCAGCTTCTACCGCAGCAGTGAAGCTGTGGTGAGTATGTGACTCAGTCACACTGGCGCTGCTCATGTAGACTATCTGTTTGGATTCCAGTAGATAAAACCCAGATTTCATCACTGGAGCATGCTGCATCCGGGCCCTATCAGACTAAAAGCCTGTGCAGTCATACCGGGGAGTTACTATATATGGATGTTATGCTAAGGATCACACACCTGATGCTATGAGTGCAGGGACTGTTTAGTCTGTAAAAAAACAAACTGATATGTTATTATGCACAGTCATTGTCAGGATACAAAACATTACACTAAAAGCTTTATGAATGCTAACTGGAATTGTTTTCTTTAAAGTAAAACAACTTTGTCTACTGAATCTGTGTGTTTAAATTGTTTGTCTGTGTTTTTACACTGTGTACACTTTCCTTATAAAACATGGTTGTGGTCTCAGTGAGTCTTTAATCATAGGATTAAAACTAAGGGGGTCCAGTCAACAGTGGTGTAATTACAGCAGCCTGGTTGTATATTCATGTAATGGGTTATGGTCATATTTTTTTTAAACATCCTTGTGCTGAAGGTCAAGGAACTTTTTCTAGGTGCTGAGCTTTTTTTTTTGTCAGTTATATAAGTATCTTGCCTCTTTGCACAATTTTTACACAACTTTTACAGTTAATTTAAAGTACTTTTTTAGTTTTTAGCAGGTTGCATTATCTAAGAATGGCAAAAAGTGTCAGTACACACAAAACTAGCTGAAATGAAAAATATGCTTCACATTTGTGTTTTTTATCTATTTTATTTTAAATACATTTTAAATTATGTAGATCAAGTATAAAGAAGAAGAAGAAGAAGAAGCTTTATTTTATTGTCATTGTAACATTGTGACACGTACAACGAAATTTTGTTTGGAGCCGAGGGGCCCCGGGCCGCTGCATGCATACGAGTCGCCATCACGGACAACTTGGGGGGTGCAGTGTCTTGCCCAAGGAACCTTCAACCTTCCGGTTGGGAGACGGCTGCTCTACCCATTGCACCACTGTCGCCCCCCGCTGTATGATACTGTTTGTTCGCTGTTTATGCATAATTTTATTTTTAAAAAAGGAAAAAGCTTTGTTGACCTTTTTAAAAACAACAACAAATGAGAAGTTCTTGGAAGTATGCGCCCCAGTGGTTGCAAACAATAAATCAAAGCATTAAACTACATAGAATTAGTGTTTTATGGGTTTTTGCATGCTAGAGTACAAAATTATTTTAACATCCTCCTGTTTTCAAACACAGACAGATGGTCAAGAATTGGAGTACTTGCAGTACATTTATGAATGTGGATTTTGGCAAACAATTACATCATAATAAAAATATAGGCTGTCATCTACATTTTCAATCAGTGGCAGTCATGAATGTGCTTGTGATTACATTTTATTTACTTTTTCACTGAAACGGTTTAATTACTTTTTCTCTTTAAAAAAACTGCTGAAAGTGGTATTTCTGGGATTTTGGAGGGATTGTTGATGTGAAAAGTTCATATGCTACATTTGATATACTTTTTAAAAGTTGATAATTAATACTAACATTGCTTTAATAACAAATGTGTGACAATAGTGTTTTTATTAAACACTTTTTTTTGTTAAATACAAATACACACACATTTATATGTTTAAATAGCAGTGGAAATGGCTCTAAAACTGCTTTTAGACCATGATGTATAGGTGATATTTAAAAAAAAGATTTAAAAATACAACAGTTAAAATGTTTTAACGTAGGAAATGTTTGATTAGTTAAATTATGACGTCATGAATGGAACAGATGGGCTATCAGCTGGCGCTGCGTTCACTCACTGTTCACATTTCTTTGACTTGAGCGCCCTCTAGCGGCCCAAATGGAAAGTACAGACGGCGACCTACAGTTCCACATTTTGCTCGCTTGGCGGCGATAGCGTGTACACGGAAGCCCAAACGACATAGAGGAAAGGGTGAGGAAGTCAGAAAGCATCTCTGCCTGTGCTGTCACAGCCGTGTTACAAAAAAGAAAAAAAAAAATCACTGGGGGAAAAAGCCTGGACTAACACTTGTCCTTTTCGATTTACGCCCAAACCACCACCGACATGTCGAAGGCCACCCTGTCCGCCCGCTTCAGGCGAGTGGACGTGGACGAGTACGATGAGAACAAATTTGTGGACGAAGAGGAAGGGGGAGAAAACCAGCTGGGTCCTGACGAGACAGAGGTGGACTCCCTCATCAGACAATATCCTTTACAGGGTTAGCCAACCGGCCTGTTAGCATACACAGCAACACATAAAGCAGAAAACAATCACTGTTTGCAAGGCTACGATTTAACTGCATGTTTCCCCAATTATGTTTACCGTTGTTGCCTGTATGAATGGGCGTTTTGCAAATAGGCCAGTCACTGTCCAGACTTGCCTGGCAGTCACATTCCTGGGATTTCTGCTCCAAGATATAACAGGCTGTTTATGTACAGTATATCGACAGCAAGCTCGTATATATAACTATATGGTAACCAGTTAATTTTAAAAGTCCTTTACTAACTGCAACGTCTTTTAAATACTCATGCAACTTTAATGTGATTCTGCAGTTTTGTAAGATAAGTGTTCCGGGGTCACCCTCTAAAAATCTGTTTTCTTTGTTTATACAGCATTTACACTGTGGATGAAAGAGTCCACAGAGGTTTTTCTTTTGCTGGGAGCCAGCAGTAATGTCAGCAGCCAGCACAGAGCCGTTGTTTCAGTCTCATAGGCCTTAAAAGGCATGAAAGTGCGGCACTTCCTCATTGAATAAGGCAGTAACCTCCCACCTCAGTGCAGGAGAATTAGTGGCTAGGTTTGCATTCTTTTCAAGTCTGACAATAACAGTAGACAAAACACAGCCATAAAAACAAAACATTTATGCCCATATGTACAATCCTGTATGTCATATTACTCATAACTGTACAGACACAGCAGGTACAAACATTTGGAAATGTATAGGTATTTTAAAGGATATATTCAGGTAGAAGTGAGACAGGTTTGACAGATCTCAGGTGTTCAGGCAGCTTTTTGCAAAGCTAACAGTTATTAACACAGAACTGGGATTGCTTGACACAGTTTAACTATCATGGGGTCTTGTGGCCAGTATTATGATTTTGTGTGTGGCCCTTGTGTTGTATTCTTAACCCCTCAGTACAGGAAATCTCATGGAGGCTTTACATGCAGTTCTGAAAAACCCACCAATCAATACCAAGAACCAGAACATCAAGGTGTGTTTGATTTTCATTGTCAATACTACTTAGAGTCTTGAATGAAATGCCTAATGATGTGTTCATTCAGCTATTTTTCCTGACATGATATCCTTGTAAGACAATATCAACGCGTCATCTTGAAGAGCATTTAAAATCTTGAGCCACTTCAGGTCATTAACCAACCTGCTAGACTGAAATCTCCTTGAGTTTCTTTTCACTATTTTAATATTTATTAATTGAATTGCTGAAAAAGTCTAAGATGTGGACAGCAGTTCTGATGATTTTTTTTTATCAGTATAGTAATTAACTGAACTCTGTAGCAACTCTTACCTTTACCTGGTCTCTGGTTTTCTTTCTTTCTCCCAGGATCGTGCAGAGGGTTTGGTGCTGAAGGTGCTCAGCGCCTTTAAGAGCAGTGACATCGAGAAAGGTGTGCAGTCCCTTGATAAGAATGGTGTGGACTTGCTGATGAAATACATCTACAAAGGATTTGAGAGACCATCAGAAAACAGCAGCGCGGTCCTATTGCAGTGGCACGAAAAGGTCAATATTTACTTATCATATGATGTAATCGGGTAACAGAGGAAGAAATGGGAAATTTAAAGAAAATGATAGACAGATGCTGTTCAGATTGTTAAAACTACTGGTTTTATGGATGCATCAGTCACCTTTTTGCTTCCTGATAGCGGATTCCCAGACTCTGAGTATCTGAGTAGTAGTAGTAGTAGTAGTAATCCAGTACTAGCGCTCTCTTTTTCCCCAAATATAAATCTGTAAATCTCAATGAGTGGAACCTATTGGGATAATTATTATGTATAGCAACATCTTAAGTAAAATTGGGCCATTCCTCACCATCGTTCTTTTTAGGTTCGTAATTGTTCTAATGAATGGTCAGTCACATGGTGAAGATGTAAAGTGGTTCAAACATGAGGACTGTGATGTTCTTTTCTCTTAGCTTTAGAAATAGGTTTACTGCAACATGTTAAAGAAGTATTGTCAGTAGGTTTGACAGATCTCAGGTGTTCAGGCAGCTTTTTGCAAACCTGTCAACTGTGAGGGCCATTTTGAGATTGGACTAAATGTACCAATAAAAACGACCATACTTTTTTTCCTGTGTCTCCAGGCTCTGGCAGCTGGAGGAGTGGGCAGCATTGTCAGGGTACTAACAGCGAGGAAAACGGTCTAAAAGAGGAGCACTTCACTCCATATCACTGGTAGACTTGGGGAGTACATGCTGTACTGTTCAAGTAATCAAACAGATGGCATATGGGCTAAAAGGAAAACATTTTTAACCCAATGTGATCCTACTGTGTTTAATGCTAGAATAAAAATGTAAAAAACTAAATCTGGGTCACATTAGATAAAAAAAATGTTTTTTCTTATTTCTTCCCATGCACAGCCTATATTAGTTAAAGGGTGCTACAGAAAACCTCACACACCCCATGTGTCTGTGCTGCTTCCCTAATCTGTATATCCTCCTCCTGTCTGTCATTCCCCTCTAGTATGCTCTTTCTTTACACCATTGGTTCCCAATCTGCGGGGCTGCAAAGTGATTAATTAATAAACACTTATCTATTTTTTTTGACACTTTCCTCTTATCTTTGCTTTTTTTTCTTGTGAATTATTGGATAATTTGGCTTTTTAAGCCTCTAAAAATGTTTCTAATAAAACTAGAAAAAAAGCTCTTTGATTAAACTGGTCAGAACCTGTAGACAGATGGATCCCTTCATCTCAAGCCCAAAATGTTGGGAACCACTGCTGTACAGAGTATCAACACACACGTATGATCATATCTGTGCTCAGTCACATGCATGACTTCTAGCAATGTACTGTATCCTCCATCACAAACACAGAGTGTCAGCTTTGTTTATCTCAGGAAAACTGTCTCAGTACTTGTTTTCCACCATCCTCCTGTGTTTTTTTTCTGCACTAGAGACTCCCTAGTGGAATAAAAGCCTGATTCTCAGTTGGTAAATTCTTTTGCTGACACACTTTAGCAGTGGGAGTCTCCGGAAAAGCACAGTTACCGATGGAGGGTGGTGGATTTGCTTACAGTGGGGAGAAGTATGGTGGAGGATTGGTGTCATCCATCCTTCCATCCATCTTTTCACCACCACTCTTATTAATCCCACTCTTCTGTTCCTCACATCCTGTTTGTGTCTGATGTCTCATGCACCCTCATCATGTGGCTCTGCAGGTACTGTTCATAGGACCTGCAGTTTTTCTGTACTTTCAGGAGAATGACATCACCCTGAGAATACTGTTCTCAGATTTTTTTTAGTATTTAACAGATAAATAATCTGGGATTAAACATTTCCTCTGTTTTGTTATTTTATAGTAATGATGATACTTTTTTTTGCTTCAATGCCAAATCCCTACTAAATAAAAATTAAATACAAGGGTTAGGGGTTTAACAAAAGACACCATGCTTGCTTTACAGGAGAGATTGAGATGATATTATTGCTGTTTGTCTCTCTGTAAATGGAGAGTAAATTTCAGTTGCATTGTGGTTTGCATAATCCCAATTTTGAGTATTTTCTCCAACATTTCATACCAGAATTTTGTACATGTTTTGTATCTCTTCTGAGGTTATATATATCAAATCTGTTTAAGTTCATGCTGTAGGAAAACATCCCCATACGCTCTTTTGTCTCTCAGTAGAAAGTTATGCTGTTACTACCACATATATTTTTAGTTCCCATACATTTTTGTAACAAAGAGAAAACTGGAAAGTTTTATCTGCCTTTTGAGGGGGATCATGTCTGTTGCCAAATGATTTGTTTTGCTTTCATGGGACTAATGTAGTTGACCTTGAAAATGCAGTTGCTCTTGTGTATTAGAGAAGAATTTTAAAGTCATACGATGGAGTCACAACTATATGCCAGTGGTGGAAGAAGTACTGAGATTATTTACTTAAGTAAAGGTACAAAAGTATTAACAGAAAATATACTTAAAGTACCAAAAGTACAAGTACTCATTATGCAAAATGGCACTATTTACATAAATGTACATCATATTATTCAATTATAATTATGCATACATTATTGTGTACATCACATTTAATGTTGCAGCTGGTAAAGGTAGAGCTACTTTTAACTATCTTTTATGCTTATAAATTTGAATTACTGCTGAGTAGCTTGTGAATTTTTACACTAAGGATCAATAAATCTTGTGATAATACTGTATTTTGTTTTATTTCTGAAACGTAACTAAAGTTATCAAATAACTAGTGAATACAAAGTACAATATTTTTCTTTTAACTTTTGATATTTTTCTTTGTAGTGAAGTTTAAAGTAGCAGAAAATGAAAATACTCAAAAGTACAGATACCTCAAAATTGTACTTGAGTAAAAGTACTTGGTTACTTTCCACCTCTGCTATATACAGTATAAAAGGACATAAAAGCAAAGTGTTTTACAGTTCAAAAATCTGCTGTGTTGAAAATTAGCAGCCTTAGCTCTGCTCCTCAAGTAGACGTAGTGATAAGGGGAATTCAGCTTTAAAATAACGTTTTGTTTTTTCTCATTTCCAAGGAATCGCTGAGTTAAAGTTACTTTGGGATTTTCTCCAATGGGTGTTGGTTTTTCTAAAACACAAAAGCATTGCCATCATTGTGTATTACACACGAGTTATCACCAGTTGATATTCGTACATGAGTTTGCCATGTTTGAATACTGTCATCAGTGATGATGCATCCAGACATTAGAGACCGTTTCTAATGCAGTAATGACTAGATTTACATGAGAATAAAACAGAGAAAGGTTCAACTTATTCTACTTCATCTACGTATTTCTAGTCAGAGATGCTCTTCTAGCCGACTGCAAGAAGACGAGTCAACATACCAAACTGATGTACAAACTGCCTTACTCCAATATTTCTTTTTTATGTTTGTCTTTTTTGAAAATAATAATAAAAGGTATTACTGTTGATCATAACTGGTGTTTGATTGTTTCCCATATGTCTTAATCCAAGTCCCAAGTCAGGGCCTGTAGGCAGGGGTTATTTAATCCTGTATCAACCCCTGGGTCTGTGCACCATCACCACAAACAACAGATTTACCACTACAGAGTCAAAACCGCTAATTCGAGCCTCACCACAACAAACGTACAGTGATTCACTTCACCACATCTTTAACACAAACATGTCTCCAACAGTTCAGCACTACAGCAAACACTATCAATACAACAGACCACACCAGATCCATTGTTACATAAATCCCAGAATAACAAGCGTTAACATTCAACACTGACTTACCGAGGCGGGCAGGTCAGCATCTGTGCTTTGACAGGTCTTTGCATCCCATTTAACCCTGTGAGTACAAACAGTGTCAGTAATGAAGTCGCCCATTTACCCGGGTCAGTGCTGTATGGATCACTGGCTCTGTGCGTACAGCTGCCGGTGTACTCTTGTGGTCTCTCTAGTTTGCTGGTGCAGTTTCTTAAATGTAGGGCACCCTGCTGTGGATGTACTTGTTTCCAGTGGTAGTGCCAGTATGATATCTGGGTTTCTTCCCGGTTGCTTGCCTCCTCTTGGCTACTGATACTCATTGGAGGCACCATGCTAACTTTAGCGCTAGCCGCCACAGAATTGTGGAGTAAATTTATCAAACTCCTACCTGATTTTTTGTCGTTTTAAGCTATTTCTGAGGGAAACAGTTAACGTAGGTATTTTTTTAAATAAAATTGCTCATGGTTTCGGTTGTCTGTGTCTTTTTTGAGACTTTCTGAACGTTCCTCTCATACTGTATGTCCCAGATTCCGCCATTGGTGTTGATATTTTCTTCACTCAAGAACTCACGAGAGCGGCTCATTATGTAACATCACGTGACACCGAACCAACCAATCAGTGTCAGAAATATCGCCATTGGTAACAAACTGACCAATCAATCAGTACGCATGATTAATGACATTATCAGTGTATATTCATTTATTATTTTAATTACAAAATGGATACGATAAGTACAGTACGCAATACATTGAGAAAAAAACCTATGTACACATCATAAAAATAAAATACATCTTGGTATCAACTATTGAGTGGAGCATTATGGTACACTGATTATGTAATCAGTGTAACAATTGCTAGGTTATTTTCAAGTTTTCCATTGCCAAAATGAGCACCAAATTTGAACATTCACATCTCCACTTTGGTAACTGATTACCCAAAGGTTAAACACAGGGGGGAACTACCTGTTTTTCATATTCAAACACTTCCCAATGAGTTAATAATAGGTAGATGTATATAAAAGGCTAGCTAGGATTTCTTGAGTAGGGTTGAAACCTAGTTTCTGATCCTGTGGTGGATGCTTCAACTTTGTGAAGCAAATTTTATTGGTTTTATAAATAAATCTGAAGTGGCAGGAAAAATAATAAGTCAGATTATCAATTGATCGACTGAAGTGAAATTTTCAGGGATAACAGCCAATAAATAGCCAGTTCCTGCAATAGCTTTTACAGTCTCATTCAGTCTCTTTACTGACGTGGCTACTTTTCCCCAATCACATCCACTCACTCGCACCACAACACTCTCTCAGTGATGTGGAGGACTCAGTTCTTCACTGCACCTTTGTCTCAGACTATTTAAAGTGCTCTCAGTAGGGGTAGGCAGAGACTGCAATATAAACAATGAAAGTCGTCTGGTACTCGATGCCTCCATCTTCACTGTAGGAGAGGGCTCGGACCTTCATGCGGTATGTGTGGGGCTCTCGTAGTGCCCGTGTGGTGAACAGGACCCCCTTCAGGTTCTCATCTCGCAGTGCAAATGGTAATGTGATGTCCTCATCAACAACTAGGAATGTGGTCCTGGGATGCATCACTCCGTCCTGTGTGTAGGCCACCAGCCTGATGAGGTCCTGATTGGCTGCAATGCCAAAAGGAAGAGACAGCAGCTTGTACTCCAGGGCATAAGGGCTCAGTGCACACTCCAGGTCATTTGGTGGGCAGTTCTTCAGGCAAAATCTATGACAAAGTAGATTTTTGGTGAAAGTAGTGGGAAAGCAGAAAGACTAGTTACACATACATACATAACAAACCAAAAGATCAGTTTACTTTTTTACATAGAGTGGGGTGGTAGCTACAGTGTATGGAGAAAATTAAGTTATTTCTCACAGCATTATCAACATGGCATCTTAAAAATTTATCAGCAATCTGTTATTCTAGAAACAATGTCTTGGTTATTGTAAGTACAGTAACCAGAGACCTGGTTGTGAAATGTTTTTATTTGGACTACTTCCTTCTCACAGTTAACACCATTTTATATTCTGCTGGTGTGGCGACAAAGGTTTGAACACCATTAACTGCATACTCAGCAGCACAATTTCAGTCATGGAGTCCTACAAGTTCCTGGGTTCCACAATCTCTTGGGACTCGAAGTGGACAACCAACATCTGTGCCATTATTAAAAAGACGCAGCAGAAGATGTACTTCCTGCGTCAGCTCAGGAAGTTCAACCTGCCTCAAGAGCTGAGTCTGTTCTTTGCACTTGCACTTCCATCTCTGTCTGGCTTGGCTCAGTAACCAAACAGGACAGGAACAGACTCCAGTGGACTGCAGAAAAAATCATCGGTGCCAGCCTGCCCTCCATGGAGGACCTGTACACCTTACTGGTCAAAAGGAGGGCAGAGAAAATTTCTGCAGACCCCTCATACCCTGATCACAAAGTGTGAACTCCCCCCCTCTGGACAGCGCTACAGGTCACTGTACACCAAAACAACCAGACACAGAGATAGTTTCTTCCACTGGGCCATTACACTCATAAACAGTTGCTCTTTTAACTTGTATGTATTCTGTTTTTATTGCTGTGCACATCAGGGGCCACTGGGCTGGAGCCACATTCCTTGTATTTTTGATCATACTTGACAAATAGGTTCATGTTTACGCTTAACAATAATGGCTACATAAAGAGATAGTTTTTTTTTCTTTTTTCAAATGAATTTTCTAGAGTTTAAAATGATCCAAAAATACAAACTCGATAATTGTATATCCCCTTTTTTGAACAAATACTTTATTTTGTGGGTCTGTTTTATTTAATGAAGAAGTATATATATTTGTAGTGAGGCTTACCCTGTGGCTGGATCCCTCTGGTAGTTTAGTGGACAGGGTGTGTCAATACACCGGTAACTTCCTCTCATGTTGAAGCACATCTGGTTCGCTCCACACTGGATGTTCTGCTCCAGACACTCGTCTATATCTGTAGATACATCACTCAGCTTATCACAAAAGTGCTGTTTTGTTACAATGAACAAAAGATCATACTTTAGAGTCACCAAATGAAATGAAATGATAATGGACAGAATGGTTCAAGATCATGCTTTAGAGTCACCAAATGAAATGATAATGGACAGAATGGTTCTCACCTTGACACATCTTGCCATTGGTCATGAGGCGGTAACCAGCAGGACAGAGACACCTGTGGCTCCCTAATGTGTTCATGCACTCATGCTGACAGACATCCCTCACCTCACACTCATTAATGTCTGTTGGTGTCATACACACACAAACACACAGAATGATACAGTGAAAATCTGTGAAATAATGTATTAAGATTCATGTTTTAAGCTCACAGTCCTTATGTACAGCAGCAGTGAAGCAGAGAAAAAATTTCTCAATGAATAACTTCCACCCTCTTCGTCATCTCAACCCTGCCTGTCCTCCATAATTACCTAAACAGTGGCCACCCCTGGACTCAAACCCTTGCTGACATGCGAGGAAGCCCTGCTGTGAAGAAAATATGCGGATCTCTCTACGACTACGGTTCCTGTAGCTCCCCATTGTGGTGGTTGTGTAGGAGTGGTAGCTCTGAGAGGCCAAGTTGTGGTACAGCCGTTGGTAAGAGCTGTGCTCAGGAGAGGACTGAGATGTGCGGTAGCCGTATGAGTAGCTCTCATAGCTGGGCAGACGCTCCAGACCAGCACACGATTTGCCATCCCCCAGCAGGTGGTGCCTTGGCGGGCAGGTGCACTTGAAGCTGCCAGGGGTGTTGATGCACTGGTGGGCACAGGGCTGTGGAACCCGCTCACACTCATTTATGTCTAACCACAGCACAAAGAAAGACCAGCACCAGAAAAAAACAAGAGGACAGGGTGATAAAAAAGAAGGATGGAAGGAGAAAAATAATGCAGAAGAAAAAAGGGATCACATAAAAGGACATGAAGAGAACAAATGAGATGATGCGGACCATGAAAATAGAGGAGAAAGATGAGGATGAGGGAGGAAAAAGGGGATATGTTATTTACCCTAGTGTAATAGATTTTCATGTCAAGGTGATCATCCTGAATCTAGCTTAAAATTTATCTGAATATTATATTTGATATCAGTTTAAAAAATCCAATTCATGGCAAATATATGTAGCCTATATGGTATTTCACAAAGACATGAATCAGCGTCCAGGGTTAATGATGTCATGGGGGAACAGAAAGGCCATTACAAGCAACACCAGGACTTAGCCAGATCAAAACAAAGTGTGTCAGAAATGTAAAAGAGTGAAATGAAAGAGTGACAGAGCTGTGAGGTGATGGTGCTGGTCTTTTTATGGTTGGTAGGTCACAAGAAGAACCATTTATTTACTGCTTCACTTCCTCTGTAGTCCTTTCTTAATCTTATGTGACAGTGTAAACAGGGAGATCTAAAATCAACCTAGACATTTGGAAACCATGACAACATGCATTAGGTCTCTGCAATAAAAAAAGAGGGTCTTTTCATTTAACGTTAGTCGTTAGTGAGCAGTTTTCATTGCAGCACTTTAGAGATATAAACAAGCAAGTGGCAAAATATGTCTACAAAAATTGCAGATGACAGCAGAGTTATTTTAGACTCTCAACAGGAGCGAATCACTGGCACAAAGAGAGAAATACATTGGCAGAAGCAAGAAAGCTGAAGGCAAGTGCCAAGCAGTAGTGTTTCAAATTGCTTAACATATACTTAATTAAAGATACTCACACATTTGCGACAGGATCACCTACTGTAAGTGATCAATACAAAGCAAGCCCTTCATATGTTGTTTGTGCATAATGAATGTACGTACCAACACATGGCCGTCCTGCTCCCTGAGATTTGAAACCACGAGGACAGGTACAGTGGTAGCTACCTCTGGTATTCTCACAGATTTGGTTGTATCTGCACTGATGGGTGCCATCTCTGCACTCATCGATGTCTACATCAGGCCACAAGACACACAGACCTAACCATCAGCCTCTTGTCTCAACTATAAATCCAGCTTTAGTAACTTAGTGTGCAAAACTGAAATCTCTACTATTTTATACTTGTTTCTCAGCAAATGGCCTTTTGGTTAAGTTTACTCTGGCCAGACACTCACCTACACATGTTCCACTGGCACCTTTGGTCATACCATTTGGACACAGGTCAATACAGGTGTAACCTCCCCGTGTGTTCTTACACTGCTGATCAGAACGACAAACCCTCTGTCTGCACTCATTGATATCTGAGGTAAAAGGAGAGAAAAGAGAAGTGGTACAATCAAGGTCAAAGTAAATTAATATCTTACAGGAAAAATGTCAAATGAGGGCAGATTAGAATAGAAACAGTGAAAGGCAGACCTCATTAGCGGAGGTGATACTACAAAATTTCTTTCCCAAAGAAAGATTTTTCGGATCAACAGACTCAGTACAATAACCCAGACAGACCTTAATGACAGCTTTACCTTTAAACCTCTCTTATTACAGTGTTTGTATTTTTGTAAAATCTAATGTAAAATTCCAGTAGAATGCAATTTTAGAGGTACTGAAACTGATACAAAGGTACTGCACGGTTGACAATCTTTAAAATATAACCCAGAAGAGGGAAATAAAAGTACTCTGAGGCAGAAAACTCCATCCAGTATCAAGATAATAGCTGTAACATTTATGATGAAAATTACAGGTAAAGTATTGTTTGTGGAGAAGTAGCTGTCTCACCAATACAGCGTCGGTTCTTGAGCTGAAATCCTGGCTCACAGGCGCAGCGATAACTACCAATGGTGTTGAGACAACGTTGAGTGCATGGATTGGACTCCTGACACTCATTTACATCTGAGTAACAGAGAACAAACTGCACATCAGCTCTACAGTAAGTATCTTGAAAAAATTAGAAAAGCATTTAAATAAAAAATGGTTAGCTCATCAACTAAGCTTGTTGATGGACCTGTGCAGCTGAGACCATCAGCTGTTCTCCTGAAACCATGCCCACAGTGCATGACACATCGGTAGGAGCCAATGGTGTTCTCACAGTCCTGTCCATCATGGCACATGTTGCCACTGAGTGAACATTCATTGATGTCTAAGAGAGGAGACCAGTGGATAATTTGACAAAGATCTGTTTCTGTGATCCTTAAATATCATCTAGGTACAGTGTGTTTGTTGTTGATTTACCCTGACAGGTCCTGCCATCAGCTGAGATGGTGAGGCCTCTGGGACAAGAACAGTAATAGGTGCCCATGGTGTTGTGACAAGCATGAGAACATGGGTTCCCAACCTCACATTCATTCTCATCTGAAATACATACATGATAAAATAAAAATATTACTACAATGAGAACAGATTTAAGCCTACAATGAGAAGGTTCTGCAAGGCCTGTGCTTTTACCTTCTCTACATGTCTTTAGAAGCAAAATTTTAATAAGTTTTTAGTTTCACTGTGAATATCACTGTTAGTAACTAGCCTTGATAACTACTGTTGTTTAACAGAAATAGGAAGGGGCATAATACATTGCAATAAACATCACCTGCACAATAGGGCCCAGCAGACACCAAGGTGAATCCTTGAGGACACTGGTTACTGCGATCACCTGGAACCATGCATTTCAGCATCAAATTTAAATTATGTTAGTGACAGAAACATGAGGAAAAATATTGAATGCAAAATATTAACCCAGTTCATTCATAGTTCTCTCATCTATATGTTACAATATCCTCACCCTTGGTGATACTGGCTTGGATACTATATTCCAACACCTCCTCCAAGGCGTGGTAGTGAGCGCTGATTGCTGTGGCGTGCAGCATCTCTACCAGGTAGGGCATCTTGCCCTTGGACAGGTCGTAGGAGATGGTGTGGTTCCAGGAGTAAGGCACACTCTCTCTGTCAATGCTGAACATACGAGTGGACAGAGCATACAGCTGGCCTGGGCCTGTCTGGATGTAATCCTCTGTGTAGTCCTGAGACAAATTGTACAAATGCGGTAGTCTTAACTGAACATTGCATATCTTAGCCAATGTACATCACTGTGGTAGCAAATGAAATTTGATATAGTTTCACTTCTTAACTTTATTTTGACATAAGACTTCTAAGAGGCCAAAAAATTGTTTATATTGCTTATTTCTGTACCTTAATGCTGATGTCAGCATGTGAGGACAGCTGTAGGATATGCCCATTCACTACGATGTCCAGTAACAACACTCCATCTGTGTCCAGGCCTCTGGCAATGTGAGTCATCCTCAGGATTTCACCTAGTAACATCCAATCACACCACAGATGTCTGTCAAATGTTAAGGTGCTAACAATGAACATCAATCAGTCAGGATTTGTGTAAGAAGTTTTCCATGGCATGCAAGTGACTGGACGCACTCTGAGCATTTCACTGCTATATGTAACCCTCTCTCTAGTAAATCCATGTCTGACCATTCTTACCTGTAGCAAACTCCACCTGTGTATCTCGCCTGAATACACCCCCTGTTAGCGTGTAGCCATTGACAGCCTCTCCTACTTCTTGTGCAGTTGTCCAGTAGATGGGGTTCAGGATGGAGATGAGCTTCCTCATTGCAGGACCTTGAATAAAAAGGCGTTTACTATGATATTTATTAATAGTTTAATTTCAATAGAACAAGGTAGATGCACTAGTTACATGGAGGCAGATATCTCATCAAATTCATGTCTAAAATAGTTATAAAATCATAAAATATTTGGGAACTGACCTAATGTCCTTGGCACATTAGTAATGGTGGCCTTGATATTTCTACCACCAGACTTGTTGTCTGTGATGGTGGCATTGAGGACTGAGATGCCAAATTCAATATTGTTGATGTTCCCTGTGATGGTGCCTCGTGCTCTCTTGGGCCCTCCTGATGAAGACAGATGGTAGTGTAAATGCTGCAACTGCATACAGAACCACACACACATTCAGTAATTTTAAAAACGCTGCTTACCTGGGCAGGCCTGAGTGTTACACCTGGACAGCTGTGAGGTGTCTCCTGGACATACTCGACCTCCATTATTAGGAGATGGACTGTTGCAGAGTCGTACACGTGTCCTCTCTCCACCTCCACAGGAAGCAGAGCACTCTCCCCACGGCTGCCATGAACCCCAGCTACCATCAACTGCAATGATACACCCCAAAACATGCAGGTAAGTAAGTACACATCTTAATGCACAGAGAAACACACATAGAGCAGGGCATTGTTAACTGCCTCACAATCTGAGTTTTTATTTACTCTTTTGGGTGTACCTCAAAAATCATGAAATACATTGTTTGTAATCTTGATGTTTTCTTTTTATAACTGACAAATTAAATGGTGTTATTGATTGCATTTACAGACACTTCATTTTTCATTTGAATAGCATTTGATGCACATGAAAAGTCTACATACTCTTAGTCTTACTGATCCCTGACCCTGACACAATCTTAAACATCTTGACTCACCAGGGCAGATGGCTGTACCACATCTCTGTATCTGTGTATCTGCACCTCCACATGCTCTTCCACCATTGGAGGGTTTGGGGTTGTCACATGTCCTGTAACGCCTCATCTGACCTCCATTACAAGTCTTGCTGCAGCTGCCCCAGCTACTCCATGGACCCCAGTTACCACTGACTGACAGAGACAGCCAAAATGACAAAGACAGAAAAGGAAAAGCAATAAGCTGGTACATAAGTGACCAAGAGAACAAACAATCTAGATAGGAAGATATGTAGCTATAGATAAAGAGTCACAAGTAAACCTTATTTTCCTGTTACATTACCAAAAAGGATTGTGGAACACACCTCTCACTGCACAACTGTATTTGTAATATCCAGTCAGTAAGAACAAGTAAAAGTTAAGATGACTCACTGGGACAGGGTTCATTGTTACAGAAGTCAATGTGCATATCGTTGCCCTCACACTGTCTCCCACCATGCTGAGGGGCAGGGCTGGCACAAAGACGTGTCCTCTGTCTGGTCCCGCCCCCACAGGAAACACTGCAGGCTCCCCAGCTCACCCATGATGACCACTTCCCATCCACTGGAAGGCAAAAGAAGAAAAAGCCAGGTTGATCAGTCACTCAGTCCACTGTATAGTCTTTGAACTCAAGATTTTACTGTAACACATGTTACAACTATTCACAAGTCCAGATTTTTTTCATCATATTGTAAAAATCCCGGAGTCCTTACCAGGACAAGGCCTCTCCTTGCAAACCTGTGTCTGAGTGTCTGTGCCCTCACACTGCAGCCCATGAAATGATGGAGGAGGGTTGTTGCAAAGCCGGATTCTGGACTGCATACCCTTACCACAAGTCTCACTGCATGGGCTCCATGCTAGCCAAGATCCCCAGTTACCTGCCACTGTAGGAGTGGAAAGCAGAGTCAGTATTATATGCACACATACAATATTTACTGCACTCTAAATAATTTAATAATGCGAGATGTGGTGACAAAAATACAAGAACAATCAAACAAAGTCTGGTAACCAGAGGTTTTGTGGGATTTTATGCAAAAAAATTAATACAATCCAAAAACTACTGGAAATTAAATTACTGGAAGTTACATCAAATTCATAAATACTATTAAAGGTGCTTTTCATGCAATGGACAGTTTTCCTGTTTGCTCACCTGGACAGGGTCTAACACTGCACATGATGACCTCCACTGCCTTTCCCTCACACGGCCTTCCACCATGCTGAGCTGCAGGGTTACTGCAGGTTCTGATCCTGGTTCTGTTACCCTGACCACAGGTACTGGAACACTCCTCCCAAAGCGACCACTCTGACCAGTTACCAGCCACTGCAGAGTGACATAGCTACAGGTCTTAGTACAGCATATACTGTACCACTGGCACACGCAGTCTTAAAAAACAGACTGAATCTTCTTCCTCTCATCCATAAAGCCACTCTCACCTGGACAAGGTTTTCCCTGACAACCGCGTGTCTCTGTGTTTGATCCAGCACAGTGACGCCCACCATTGGCAGGTACAGGATTGTTACACTGCCTCAGCTTCTTCTGCATCCCAGCACCACAGGACACACTGCAGGGACCCCACTCTGCCCAGTCTGAGAAGCCCCCATGAACTGAAAAACAAATGAGTGCACATTAACACAACATTTATGACTTGGTCAGTTTAAATGATTAGTTTTCTTTTTCTGTGGAGGATAAAGAGAGAATGAATATTTTTCTCCCCAGTAAAAAAATTCCCATAGTGTCCAGCTCACCTCGTACTGTGAGCATGGCCCTGACCAGCACTGATCCAAGCAGGTTTCTGGCCACACATTCATATTCAGCCGTGTCCTCCTTCTGAGCACTACTGATCCTGAGGGAACCATTGGACTGGGTAGAGAAGCGGTCAGTGCCCAGCAGCAGGCGCCCCTGTCGAGACCACTCTATCACAGGGGTGGGCTCACCCTCTGCCTGACAATTGAGCACAGCTGTGGTGCCAGCATCCACTACTGTTTCCACTGGCTCCACAGTGAGGGTGGGTGCCCCTGGAAGAAAGGGGTGTTACCATGTGATCTAACATTTAAAGTGGAGTTCAGCTTATTTCACACAACAAAATCAGATAGCTAGACATGTGAAGTACTAAAAAAAATAAGAGCAGAGAGACACTTACTATGCAAGGAAAGTATGATACTCCTTTCCACTATCCCAGCATCATTTGTTGCCACACACATGTAGTTGCCTGCATCCTCACTCTATATACAATAAAATAAATTTAAAAACAGATCATTATTATAAATATAAAAAGGTTTCCTTATTTATATATCCTGTAACTTGTACAATAAGTGTTTGACTGGCTGCAGAGCTGCACATTATGAACAATTCTTCCTACTTAAAAGATATTTCTATACATAAGGACACTGAAAAAGAACTGTTTATAAGATCTTAGACCACTGAGGCACTAGAACACTCACACTTGAACCTTTCATACATAGCGCATTTACACACATGAGGTTTCAGTCTCATATGATGTCTTACCACTGTGCCATAGATGGCTAGAGAGCCGTTGTCCAGGATTCGGATTCGGTTGCTAATCTGAATGTTTATCCCATTTTTGCTCCACTGGATGGTTGGCAGGGGATCTCCCTGAACCTCACAGTTCAGGATGGCATTACTGCCAAGAGGTTCAATATAGTTGGAGCGAAGGTCCCCATCAATGATAGGAGGCTCTAGTGACAGACAGGTAAGTGTGTCGAGACAGGTGCCTTGACATTACAAGCAAATCACCTGACTGAAGTCATGATGTGAAGTACGCAATTTACAAAGAAAGAAACTGAGACAGTGTGGTTTTACCTTTAACGTAGACAAAGCCCAGTGACCTGATGGTTCCTACACTGTTTTCTGCCACACAGGTGTACGTGCCAGAGTCGCCTTTGCTGACTTTCTCTATCACTAGTTCACTGTGGCCATTCATATGGTCATAGTGAACTGAAGACAGTTAAAGACAGAGAAAAACAATTAAAAAGGGAAAGCTTCAAAGCAAAATACCTTTAAATAACATACAGCCCAAAAGGAACAAAAGACTCATTCACACAACAAAGGATAATGACCCGAAGGACTTTTGGGAATAATTTATTTCTTATTAAGTATTCTTTATATTGATTACTATTTTAGTTAAGAGTAACTTTGCTAATTATTTGAAGATGTCCTCATACCTGGGATAATGTTGTTGTTCAAGGACCATGTGATTCTGGGTGTGGGGATCCCACTGACCCCACAGGCCAGGAGGAGGCGCTCTCCCTTGTTGAGGGCCACATCTCTGAGCAGCTCAGTGAAGACAGGGTGGGTATGAACAGACAGGGTCACCGTCCGACTGTCCTGTCCAACTGCATTAGTGGCAACACATGTATAACTGCCTGCATCACCAGGCTGGTGTAGAGGGAAGGGAGGTGAGGGGTCAGTGAGAGTGCACAAAAAGACAAAAGTGTAACAGTCTGAACAAACCAACATGAGACTTGGTCAACTACACTAAATATTTTAATAGAAGTCATTAACACATACCAGCAATATGCAGACATTAAGAAACCATGACATAATTTACTATCTGCCCTTTGTGTCTCTCTGTTTACCTGGACTATATCTATAACAAGTTCCCCAGAGGGCAGGATGGTGTACTCCCCTGAGCTCTCACTGAGAGGATTGCCATCCTTCTTCCAGGACAGGCTGGGCTGAGGGACCCCGTCTGCTACACACACCAGCAAGGCCTGCCTGTTTTCCACCACTGTTACTTCCTGCTCTCCACCACGAATTGAGGGAGGAACTGCAAAGGTAAGGGGTTTCATTTTTCACCATGACATTACTGTTTATGAATGACTAAAGTAACAATACAATTGTGTAGTAATGAGACTTTCACAGAAGGAACATTATCATGCATTTTATAACAGCAGTAACAGCTGTAGAGTCACCACAACTAGCGTGTGGTGTTCAGTGATTTGGTTTGGTTGAAACTTACTCTGTACAGTAAGGGTCAGCTCAAGGCTGACAGTCCCCGCTGCATTGGCAGCAGTGCACGTGTATCGTCCAGTATCACTTGGCTGGATGAAGGCGATCTGCAGGGAGCCTGAACTGAGCACTCGCTGGCGTACAGATTCACTCAGCGGCTGTCCATCTTTATACCATGTGACTGAGGGAGGAGGGGAGCTGTCAACCTGGCACTGTAGCATCACAGAGGAGTCCACAGGTGCCAGGTACTTCTGAGTCTTTGAGCTGATCACAGGAGGGACTGCAAGACAGTGAAAACAGAAATGTCATGTGTGTAACACTCCATAACACAAAATGAAGTGAGAGACTATGTGTAAAGCAAAGTTTTTGTTTGTACAGAAGGCAACCACTTAAGAATCTTTATGGTATGGTAATGTGGTTGGTGTAAATCTCCATAAATAATGTATTGAGGGCCTTGACAGTAGGTCTGTGAACATATCACAGTGTAAAATAGTGAATTCCAGTGTGATATAGTGAAATTCAAGAGGATAACTTATAAAGATTATAATAAACCTCGCAAATGTAATACCTACAGCATGGTTATTGTATTTGATTATATTAACTTTGAAGGTGTTTTTAGTTTACTCAACTCTTACAGACAAATACTGTACTTAGTACTACATGATACATTTATGATTACTTGTGTGTGTGTGTGTGTGTGTGTGTGTGTGTGTGTCCTACCTTGTACTCTGAGTTTCGTCTTCCCTAATGCAGTGCCGGCAGGGTTTTGAGCCACACATATGTATATCCCAGAGTCTGGAACAGAAGCCTTGGCGATCTGCAGGCTTCCATTAGGCAACACTGTGAAACCACCACCTAGAAAAAAAGAAAGACAGATGATGTTATGACCGACAACGGTGTAACTGTTGATACACATAGACAGCTTGAATTACCTGTGGTGGGTATGTTAATACCCTCTTTCTGCCAGGTGATGGTGGGTCTGGGTGAACCTGTGGCCCTGCAGGGCAGAGTGACCGGATTATTCAGGATCACATCCAGGATGGAAGGATGAGAATGGATCACAGGAAGCTCTGAAGAGAGAGACAGGATCAAAAAATGATGCTCAGAAAGACATAGCATCACCATGAAGAAAATCCTTAGTTATTGTGTGGTGTTGAGGCAAATAATGAGATCCATTTCCCACATGTGCTTGCAGAAACTGGAGTGATAAGGTCTGGAGCTCACAGTTATATTTGCTGTAAGAGTTTTTTTTTAAACTCCCAGAGTCCATTTTCCATACCAGACACCGACAAAATGCCAATTTTGGCAATTATATTCAAGACCTGCAAGGTTTTTAGACATCCATCACCACAGCTCCAGTCGGATTAAAAGCAAGAATCTTCCCATCATATAAATTACTATTTTCTTACGAGTTTCACATCCTGCATTGCCACGTCTCAGGAGCCATATGCAATGTGAGTCTTACATAAATGTGTAAGGAACATAGTTTATGCATAAGTGACAAAAAAAACACAACTAAACAGTTATGTTTCTTTTGGCTAATTGATGAACTGCTGGTGAATGAACCCTAGGTTGTTAAACGGAACCCACAGCAGAAACAACAGTATAAAAGTGCTGAAATTGATATATTGTTTCCAAGATGTTCTTACCCTGCACTGTTAGCTGTACATGGCGCTGGGTGGAGCCTGCAGCATTCTTGGCTGTGCATGAATAATGTCCAGCATGACTGAGCTCAGCTGAGGTGATCTCTACTGGACCTGTGCAGGTCAACACAGACCGCATCAACATAATCATTGACATGTTATCCATACTTAGACTTAAAGTAACACATTTATCACTTAGTAGACACGTATCTGCTACTTAATGAAAATGCGCACTCAGCCTCTTTTGATGCAAGTATAAGGCTACTAGAAAAATAACATCTATTAAACCTTGTTCATCTCTGCATATTATTTGCTTAACTCTGACCTGTGCTCAGGACGCTGTATCCCTGCCCCTCTTTGAGGAGCTTCATGCCGTCTTTGCTCCAATGTATTGTGGGTTCTGGGACGCCAAATGCAGTACAAGCAATGACCACTGGGGACAGCCTGGTTACAATTAGTTCTGTGGGTTCATCTGCTATAGATGGAGGAACTAGGTGGACAGATAAAAATGATTAGAAGATGTAATAAAAACATCAGATCTTGCAATTGATGAATGAGCTGTTTATAAATGAAATATTAGAAAGGAAGTTTAGTCATTTAATTGTATAGTACTGATAAACATCATTAACAGGAATATGTTTGTAAAAAATGCTGTGCCACTTACCATGGACAGTGAGGTTAATGGATCTGGAGTCTTCCCCTGCTTCATTTGAGGCCACACACCTGTACACTGCTGTGTCCTCCACTGTGGGTGCTATAACTACCAGGGAGCCCGATGATAGTAATCTAGCAACGATGATATGAGGTGAAGTTAGTATTTGGAAGTACTTTTACACCACTACCTGCACCTATATAGGTTTTATATTAATGAAATATAACACTATATAATTGGTTAAGAAATATAAAGATTGATTTGAACTAAGGTTTAAAATTACTGTATAAAATGTATCTAACATTCCAGTTTCGTCTTTTCAACAACACCATGAGGTTTTATGCTCTTGAATTAGGAAACAGGGTGGGAGAAAACCTGGATCAACCTGTACATATTCTGGTTCTGGTCAGTACTGATGGCTCGGCCATTTTTCGTCCAGCTGACAGATGGTTTGGGTATGCCGGTGGCCTCGCAAGACAGCGTGGTCTGAACGTTGACTGTAACCGTCACATTAGTGTGGCCTTCAGCGATGGCAGGAGGGACTGAAAGGTGACAACCAGGGCTCATAAAGTACTGTAACTGTTGTTGTGTGTGAATTAGACAGTTTGAAAGTAAGATAAGATAAATGAACCTTTATTAGTCGCACAGCTGGGAAATTCATAAAGTATTCATTCAAGTAAAGTATTCATGTATTTTCTATGCACATATTTACTACGCACCATCTACTTGCAGGTCCACTCTCTTGTGTTGTGTCCCAGCCTGATTTGTTGCTATACACAGATAACGGCCTGTGTCAGTCACCTGGGCAGAGTGAATGTGTAATGACCCATCCTCTGCAAATGTGTACCTGCACATATGTTCATGCAAACTGTGTGAGATATGGCATCAAGGAAAAGCCAAAAATCAGGATATGCTAATCTACCCTTACATAATACACACTCTGTGAAGCATGCTTTACCTGGGGTTGTGCCCTGCCAATACTGCACCATGTTTCCTCCAGGTGACACGAGGTGGTGGTACTCCACTTACGATACACTCAAGCACTGCTGTCTTGTTGATGTTTACTGACACTGTCTGGGAGCCGTCCTTGATTGTTGGGGCCACTGAAAAACAGGTGACAAATTGACAGACACATTGATATTATTTATTTGTAACAGGGTAGTGAATTCCACTATAACAAATAAAGGAGGGACTTGCAAAAGCAAATTCTCTTCTTTAGCACTATAAGAGAGAATGACTCTCCACATGCACACTTGTAGATAAAACTGTACCATTGACAGCCAGGTTAAACTGTCGTGTGGTCTTCCCAGCGATGTTAATTGCCACACAGGTATACTGAGCTTTGTCGCTAAGCTCAGCCATGTTGATCTGTAAGTAGCGGCCACCGGACAGCACACGGACACGAGCAGAGGCCTACACAAAGATGAATATTTACTCATGAATAAACTACAGCAGAAGTCATGCATTTTATGGATAGCTGTTTGTTTGATTCCTAACCTGCAGTGCTTGGCCATCTTTGAGCCAGCTCAGAGTTGGAGGGGGAACAGCATCAGACTTGCACTCGAGAGTTACCTGTCTGTTCTGCAGCACTGAGACATCTTGAGGTGTGCCGTCTCCCGCAATGTTAGGGGGAACTGTTGCAGGAAACCCCAACAAAGAAAGACACTGACATGGATTTTATAGCCCAGTCTCATTTCAAATATCTAATTTTATCCATTTTCTGATAAATATATTAGTAAAAATGTATTTAGCTGACTATGTATGACTAAATCTTCTTTTTCTCTATATATGTAAACTACCTGCAAGCTATATATTGTTTTCAAAACATTATATATACTGCACACAGTGTATATACACTGATCAGCTATATCATTATGACCATCTGCCTAACGCTGTGTCCACAGTACTCAGTGTGGTGGTTGGCTGGCACTCGTGTCACTCTGCAGCTCACTGTGCATCTTCTGTGAATCCATTTGCTTACATAGTTCTACCATCAGGAAGGGCTCAAATGTGTTGCTCATTCATTGAAAAACCTATGTAAAAGGAGTGAAAACTGTGGTCATGAGGACAAGTTAGAGAGAATTTTTTAGACAAATTCAACAAGCTCCCCAATCTGGGTGGGACATCAAAACTATAGCTGCTGAATGTTTCTCTTCATAGAGACCAACATACAGTATTTCTCATTTTCAACCAATACTGAATCTTTTGAAAAGGATGAATGAAATTTAAAAGTTTAATCTACAGCGGGTCAACCTCATCATCGGTGAGCTGTGGGTGTACATGACCCTGTCGCCAGTTCAGCATTTGTCCTTAGACACTGTCGGTAGGTACTAACCACTGCAGACCAAGAACACCCACCAAGACCTGCAGTGTGGGAAATGCTCTGAACCTAGTCGTCTCACCATCACAGTTTGGTCCTTGTCAAAGTCGCTCAGATCCTTACACTTGCCCATTTTTCCTGCTTCATACACATCAACTCTGGAGGTGAATGTTCACTTGCTGCCTAATATACCTGACACACTGGCAGGTGTTACTATAACAGAGAGTCAGTGTTATTCACTTCACCTATCAGTGGTCATAATGTTATGGCTGATTGGTGTACATCTATGCTACCTACCATGCACTCGAACCAGGAACTGTTTGTCATCATCTCCTGCTGGACTGATGGCTAAGCAGCTGTATCTGCCTGTGTCTTCTAACTGAGTACAAGTGTCAAAAAGTACAAGAAAATAACAACACAAAAGACACAAATTGCTAATGTTACGAAATACATTATATAATGAAATATAATGTTTGCATTTTATTCAACATTAACATTGAAAGTATGAGAAAAGGGATTTAACTATATCAATCCCTGCTTACTGACCTGTGCTGAGGCCATACGGAACACTTCCCCTCCCTTGCGGAGGCGTGAAGTGTCTGTCTGTGGAAGCGGGCGTCCATCCTTCAGCCAGGTCAGGGAGGGTGTAGGGATACCTGAAGCCTCACACTGAAGCTCCAGGACATTATTAACCACCACAGATACTTCTGCTGGAATATCTGAGTCCTTGATGCGTGGCGGATCTGAAAAGGAAAATGTACAAGCATTTTTTTCTAATTTTTCTCATTCATGAATGAGATTAGAAGCTGCAATTTGCCTTTTCACTCACCCAATACTTTAAGGTTGAAGTGGCGACTTGTTTGACCAGCAGTGTTGTTAGCAAAGCAGGTGTAGCGTCCTGTATCATTGACCTGGGTCTGGATGATCTGTACAGTGGTATTCAGGTTGAGGACTCTGAAGCGGTGGTCAGGAATTAGTGTCACTCCTTCTTTGAGCCAGTACACAGTAGGGGTTGGGGTCCCATCAGCATCACACAGCAGAGAAGCCAAATTTCCTCTGACTACAGTTACATCCTCTGTGCTTCCAGCTCCATCCATACTGGGAGGGACTAGGAAGAGTAATAAATGATACAGTCCATTATCATTAAGTTCCCTTAGAATGGTGATTGGTTATTTATTCCTCTGATTTTACAAGTGTATAATGTTTTCATACTCACCATGCACCTGTAGGTTATAATGTCTGCTGTCCACTCCAGCCCTGTTTGATGCAACACAGTTATAGGTGCCACTGTCGGATACCTGGGTTCGTGTAATCCTGACAGATGTACAAAAACAGTACAAACATTACAAACAGTACAGAAATATCCTGATAACTTTCACCCTTCAGTAAAGATGTAAAATATTCAGCCAACTATTTGTTTTTGTCATGATTCGGTTCTGTGTTGCTTCCTGTCATGCTTTTATTTTGATGCTACTTCCTGTTTTGTTTCACCACAGTTTCGGTGTTTTTACTTTCTTCATCACTCGCATTAGTTTCACCTGCTCCTTATAGTTTACACCTGTTTTCACCTCTATTTAGGCAGCGTCAGCACAAGAATGCTGCCAGATTGTTCTAGACACCAGTTCTGACTAACCAGCATTTTTTAGTTTTGGTATTTTGTGCTTCGACCCGGATTATTTCCTTGGACTATTCTGTTCTGCCTTGCCCTCTTGTTTCAGACTGCTACTGTGTATGAATTATCAGACTTCCCTTTGGACTATGTATTTTGGATTCCTCTGCTGTATGTGTTTGCTGGCTCTGATCTCAGACTGTTATACTGACCTGTGAGTGTTGTGTTTCACCGTGTCTTGTATGGTTTTTGTTTAGTGTTAGTTCTCTTATTAAAGAGACAGGTTTTTGTTTTACATTTCCTCGTCTGGCTATTTCATTGAGTTCAACGTTTTCGGTAGCATCACGCATCGTTTGACAGTTTTTCAAATTAGCACTATATAGATACAGTTTATTATGCATTTTAGATCTTAATTCATTTATGGCACTTCACAAGTACAGTAAATTTAAGGATGCAAAGACACTAAGATTTTCTAGCAGGTTTTACAGCCAAAGAGAACCAGTATTCAACAATATCTTAGTCTTCCCTGTACAATACAGAATGTACATGATCGTGAGCCACAGCCTCTTCTTGAACCCTGTCCACTGACATACCGAAGCACCTGTCCAGCAGAGAGGAGCCGAATGTGGGAGGAAATTGGCAGGGGAAGGCCATTTCTCAGCCAGTTGAGCTGGGGAGGAGGAGAGCCTGTAGCAATGCACTCAATGTTGACAGGACTGTCCAGAACTGTGGTCAGCTCCTCAGCAGTCTCTCTGTTACCATTTATTACAGGAGGCACTAAAAGCACAAAGGTCACTTACAAGAAAGATCATTAAGGAGAGTTTGAATTTCAATTAAATATCTGGATTAAATTTAACTCACCATACACATTTAGATTGAATATCCTGTCTTCCTCTCCTGCAGAGTTGGTGGCCACACAGGTGTACTTGCCACTGTCATTTGTATGAGCTCCCATCACAGTAAGTGTGGTTCCATCTGGACTGATCCTGAACACAAAGGCAGCATTATTATTATTATTATCCCAATCCCAGCTGCCATTGGGGGAGAGGCAGGGTCCACCCTGGACAGGTCGCCAGTCTATCACAGGGCTGAAATGTAGACAACTACACTCACTCCTATAGGCAATTTAGAGTCACCAGTCAACCTAAGTTGCATGTCTCTGGTCTGTGGGAGGAAGCCGGAGTACTTAGAGAGAACCCACACAGGCACAGGGAGGCTCCGGGTTGGCCTTGGCCAGGACTCGGAACCTTCTTCTCTGAAGCAACAGTGCTAACCACTGCACCACTGTGCCACTCCATTATTATTATTATAAAATGTGTAATTTTTTAATATATATTTTTGGTGGCTGGCATTACTGTACCTGAGTCCTTTGTTCTCCGTATTGCTGATGACTTTTCCATCCTTCAACCACTGGATGGTTGGTGGCGGGGTTCCCTGGGCTTGACAGACTAGCTGGATGCTTTCATTTAGCAGGACTCCCATCTCAATGGGTAGCTCCGATCCTGTGATACTGGGAGGGACTACAAGAGAATTACTGCTGTTAGCAGCAATCCAGCTGATAGTTTTGGAAATGCTTGTGTTAAGATTAGAAAATGGATCATCCAGTTAATTAATACACAAGTTACATATATTGAAAAATACAATGATATGACAACATGACCACCTTGACCACACATTCCTGTCATGATAAGTTTAACATCAATACAGTATGTTGTGACATAAGGCTTTGCATTTCTTTCTGATGCTGCTATTCCCTAGAAAAGGGTGAGCAGTCTTTCATGTTTGTGTGAAGACTTAAACATGTGCATATACCTTGTACAGTGAGGTGGTAGCTCTTGTGTGCTTTGCCCTCCACATTGGAGGCCACACACATGTAAGTTCCACTGTCAGAGAGCTGTGACCATGCAATCTGAAGCTTGCTGCCCCCTGAGAGGATGTGCATCTCCAGAGACTCTGTATTCTCTAGAGAAATATGACATTCATATGCTTGGTATTAAATAAAATGACAATTACAAAGCTACTGTACCTAGTTATGTACCATTAACCCTCTTCCCGTCCATCTAAAGTAACCTCATCCATCCATGATTACTTTTACTTTGTAAAATAGTTGAGAAACAAACTTTTATACAGCATCTTTCATACAAGTCAAATGCACAGCACTTGATAGCAACAGTAATATAAAGCAATCAAAGTATTAAAAACACTAACGCCATAAAAATAAGAAAAATATATAAATTATAAGGTACAACATAAAAAACAGGCTAAAGAGATGTATTTATTTAAAAAGAAAAATCACTCACTCACTATTTTCAGCTTGTCTCCTGACCTTTGGATATAGCCTAATATAGGCTATAAAGACTAAAAAATAAGGATACTAACAGATGATAAAATTGTTTTCACAGTTTGTGTGATTGATTAAAAAAAAAACCTCAGTCCACCTGTCTTAAACCTAAAACACATAGACATACTGTACCTATTGGTCGTCCATTTTTCAACCAACTGAGACTGGGAGGAGGGATACCAGTAGCATCGCAGGCAAAAGTGACTGGGTTACTGATGGTTTCCACCACACTCTCCTCTGCTGGGCCATCAATACTGGGAGGTACTGAAGTTAGAGAGACAAAGATTTTTCTTTCATAATTTAAAGTATGTGCTAAGAATTGTTTCAAGATATGTGTTTTAGGAATTTTCATTTTTTGATTTTTGTAAAACTAAATGAATATTTGATGTTTAATGTATTACCATGAATATTCAAATGGAAGTTCTTGTCCACCTGACCAGCAACATTGCTGGCCTTGCAAACGTACTGTCCTGTGTCAGATACCTGAAGAACAGAGGAGACATGTAAAGCAGATGTACAAAATACATGTACATGATAGCAACATGTTTATGGCAATTACAAGACTCGCTCCTACAAAAGTTTCACAAAAAAAAAACTGACCTGACATGATGGCTGAAAGATGGTGTTAAAAAGCTAAAATGATAGAGCACAAGGAACACAAAACATGGCATCCATTCATCTGTCACCTCTGAGCGTTTGATCTGGAGCATCTGTCCCTCTGCCAGGATGAGCAGGTTGGCTGATTCTGACACCACCCGGCTGTTCCTGTACCAGGTGATGGTGGGAGGAGGTACAGCATTGGACTCGCACTCCAGAGTTACTGCCTTCCCTACCAGCACATTCACCACCACAGGAGAGTCCCCAGAACTGTCCCGAATACTGGGAGGAACTGGAAGCCGAAAGAGGGAAACATTTACTGTCAGTTTATGAAGTGAAAACCCGACACCAAACTCAGGCGCTCGATGTGCATGTGGACTGACCGAAAACAGAGAGATAAATGTGTTTGTAAGCCTCTCCTGCTGTGTTCATGGCCACACAGGTGTACTTTCCTCCATCAGATACTTTAGCTTTCAGAATCTGTAATGTGCGACCACCTGAAGGCACAAATGGACACACTGGTTTTCAGAATCTATAGTATTATTCTTTCATTGCAATATAGATTCATTTCCCAACTTCTAAATATTTATTCCTTTAAATATGACCCTGTAGATACAGATTGCCAGCTCACAATACCTGGCATGATGAGTGCATTGGGGTTACCCTGAATGGGGCCCTTGTCATTTAGCCAGCTTAACGTGGGAGGAGGGAAGCCAGAAGCTTCACAAGAGACAGACACAAAGTTGTTCACCACCACTGTCACATTTTCATGACTCAGACCAATAATAGTGGGAGGCACTGAAATGAAGAAAAAAACAAAACAAACACTGTTCACTGTTTTCCAGTTATCTTACATTTTCACAAGTGTAATAAACTCAGAATGTGACTCACCATGAACATTGAGATTGAAGGATTTTTCTGCACTTCCAGCCACACTGTCAGCCACGCACACATAGCGCCCTGTATCAGAAACCTGAGCTGTCAACACCTAAAAGATGAAGAAATATATACTCACTAAGAAGACAGATCCACTGTACAGCACATACAGTAATGTGCATGTAAGAGATTCAACAACACTTCACCGTCCTTGCAGTAAGGGGTGTAATACATTAGAAATATGTATATAAAACAGATTATGAAGAACATTTAAAATGGGGTGGACCCAAAAATCTGACATTTACTATGGGGTACAAGGAGTTTTCTGTTTTTGTGATCATTCAATGTACTGTATAGGCTATGAATGAATGAATAAGTTAATAAACGAAAGATTACAATGGGTTACTTCATGAAGTGCTTAAAAAAATCTTAATATCAGCTGTGCATTTTACCTTACCTTAGCAATTAGGAAATTATGGGAAATTTGACCTGAAATTGAATCAAAATGTACAAATATGTTATTGTCTGTGCTTCCTGGTTGTTACCTGAAGCATTCTCCCATTGGACAGGACTTTATATTGACCATCATAGATGATTTGCTGGTTGTCCTTAAACCAGGTTATCTTAGGAGCTGGGTTTCCATCCACATGACACTCTAGTTGAGTAGTTTTGTTGACCAGAACCATGACCTCATCAGGCAAGTCACTGTCCATTCCCCGTATGGTTGGGGGCACTGGTGCAATGTGGAAATGCACAATGAGAAACTGTTCTGTTTGATTTGATTTGATTTAATTTATTCTTTCAAGCATGTAAAAACAGTTGATATGACAACACACATAATTTTACACATAATCCAATATCAATTTGCTTATACCTAGTACATGCTTGAATGGAGTAGGAAGAAGTCAGACTTATCCAGTCCTACCCCATGACATCATCTTACCATCATTGGTTTGCAAGCAGTAAATGATTCACTTCTACACACACACATATTATACTAAAAAAAGAATATAACAGTGTTAACATTCTTACACCACACAAGTAATATACTAAAGAATGGTTACAAAATGTACACCACACCCACAATTGTCCATGTAATTAATCATTGAGCCTGTTCTTGCATATATCTTGATTGACACATACTTTTATATTTATGTTTAAACTCATCAATTCTATTACTATTTTTTATGTCTACACTTAAATTATTCCATAGTTTTACCCCAC